TTTTTAACATTAGAGCTGGAGGACAGATTAATGCATCTAAGGAGGGAGAAAGACTGAAAAAATTATTCCTAAGGTGCTCATAGTCAAAGTTTCTATTTGTCATTCAAGGTCCAAAAATTTATTAATTAAAAAAATGGTCAGACACAACAGGACTTTGAGGAAATATTATTAAGTTATTAATCTGAATGCCATAGTTCAGAATCAGGTCAAGAGTGTGGTGTTCGGACATTTTGAGTAAAACCCACTGACTCCATGAAGTTTTTAAAGTTTATGACATGCATTTGTAAATGTGTGTTCCTGAAGTTGGGTCAGAGGTTTGTACGTGCGCAACGCTTGAGCTATCACTTTCAACATCCACATGAATATTGAAATCACCCATTATTATGACTTTATCAGTGTTTAGTAGTCAGTTAAGAATTCTGAGAATTCAGACAAAAACTGAGTAAGCGCCTGGTGGACAATATATAAGAGCTAGTGAGAGAGGCCGCTCCGTTTCACATTTAGAATGGAATAGACTTCAGGTGCATTCACACCAGCCCTGTTGTCCCGAACTCTAGTCTGTTTGCCTAGAAAGTCCGGTTCATTTGGGGAGGTGTGAACTCACGGAACAAAAAGCTGAACTCTGGCCCGCCTAAAAACCTAGGTCTCTGTCCGGTAGAAGAGAACTCCAGCGCAGTTCGAGTGCAGTGTGAATGTAAACAGACCGGGCCCCGCTCCACAAGCAGGAAGTGGAGTACAGTGTGAATGCAAACAGACCCGCTCCACAAGCAGGAAGTGGAGTACAGTGTGAATGTAAACAGACCCGCTCCACAAGCAGGAAGTGGAGTACAGTGTGAATGTAAACAGACCCGCTCCACAAGCAGGAAGTGGAGTACAGTGTGAATGTAAACAGACCCGCTCCACAAGCAGGAAGTGGAGTACAGTGTGAATGTAAACAGACCCGCTCCACAAGCAGGAAGTGGAGTGCAGTATGAATGTAAACAGACCCGCTCCACAAGCAGGAAGTGGAGTACAGTGTGAATGTAAACAGACCCGCTCCACAAGCAGGAAGTGGAGTACAGTGCAGGAAAAACACGCATTTCTCTGACCTCATATGGAGCCGTCAGCTACCTTGTGTGGAAAACAACGTTCTCCGTGGTCTCGTCTTCTGCTCATGCCGAGTCCATTGTTAAAAAATGACACAATAGAACTCCTACAACTGCTCAAATTTGACGCCACTCCGTTTTTTGTTTTTATTTCCAGAAGAAGAAGAAGAAGTGTCTTCTTCAGAGGTTTTTGTGTTGTTTCTTTCAGTAGTTCTTGGTGCAGCGCCCCCACAGGCGAGCGGGGGAACAGGTTGGCTTGACTGCACAGTGCATGTGAATGCAAACGCACCAGCTCAGATGTAACAAAATGTCATGAATATTGGTCCCGAACCGAATCTACCGGACTATCAGGTGTGAAAACAACCTTGGAGACAACGACTCAAAAGAATCTTCTTCTTTTGGCTTTTCCCTCTTCAGTGATCTGCACAGCGAGTCCTCCTCCTCCATCTCTGTCCTCACTCCAACTACCTCCATGTCCTCTCTAACTGCATTCATATGTCTCCTCTTTGTCTTTGTCCTGGCAGCTGCATTTCTAACATCCTTCTACCAGTATACCCAGTAGTATCTCCCAGTTCTTCAACCTGTGCTGTACCTCTGATGATCTCATTCCTGATCTTCTCCATCCTTGTCTCTCCTAAGGAGAACCTCAAAATTTTAATTTCTGCCACTTCCAGTTCTGTCTCCTGTCTTTTTGTCCATGTCTCTGTCTCCAGACCATACAACACAGCTGGGACAGTGGACCCCAAGTCCTTGAAGTCCTGCACCTTTGTGACCTCTGCTCCTTGTGGCCTCACTGTTCCACCTCCTCCCTCTCACTCACACATGGACTCTGTCTTACTACGGCTGACTTTCATTCCTTTTCTTTCAAGTGCATACCTCCACCTCTCCAAGTTCTCTTCCACCTGTTCCCTGTTCTCAACACAGATCACATCATCTGCAAACATCATAGTCCACGAGGATTCCTGCCTGACCTCATCTGTTAGTCGGTCCATCAACACAGCAAGCAAGAAGCGGCTCACTTTTGAAAACTTTACAAATCACTGAAAAACGGACGGTGTGGTAGTAGCTGAGAGTCGTCTCCTACACATACTCAGCTTTTGCTTAAATGAAGATTGAATGAAAAAACCTTGTCAACCGATGGACTCAGCCTTGTTTTTCTGTTAGCAAAATATGTCACGGCCCATAAATAATTCTCTTCCTCCTGTTAGGTACTGAATGCACTCATCCCGA